ATATATATATATATATATATATATATATATATATATATATATGTGTGTGTATAGTAAATCGAACTAGCAACACAATGGCCGTTGTCGTCTTCCCCTAGACTTTCCTGAGGTTTTTTCTTATCAAGTCTAAGTCACCTAGAGATCGTTGATATCGATTGAATAGAAACCAAAAGAATTTATGAACATTCTTGATGGTTCAACCACGACGATAGCCATGCTTTCAGAATATGATTTTCTTTTCAACGTATAATAGATACCATATATATAATATATATATATATATAACAATGTATTCGCAATATCGATATCTTCTCATTTACTTTTATTACTTTCTTCAATATATTTGTGAGAGAAATCAAATTTTAATATCCATTAAAAAATGTTCAATATTTTTGTAACAAAATTTTCACATTTTTAACCCTGACACAATTTTCTCATAAATTTGTATCATCATCCATTTAATATTATCAACGATATATTTTGATTTTTTTTATTTCATTATAATAATCGATTTAAAAAAAAAGAGAAATCTTATAAATACCAAATAAATGTAAGTATTTTCTTGTTTTTTTTTTTTCATTCCATTTTTCATTACGCTTAAATCGTATTCTATTTCTTTTTTTTCTTTTTTTTTATTATTCCAGTCAATAAATCCAACGACAAAATCTTGACTACCTTTTCCTACGTTTACAACCGAGATTGAACGCGGCAAAAGAGAGGATGGGAGAAAAAAAAAAAAAAAAAAAAAAAAAAAGGAAGAGGGAAAAAATGAAAAAAGGTATCGAAAAAGTTGTAGGATCCCTGAAATAGAACATTCGTTTAGATAAAATGTCCTCGTTTCGATCGAAATTCCCCGATGGTGTAATATTCCTCAATGCGAATGGATACCTATAACCAAGGGAAATAGAGACAAGGGCTTTTACGTTTCGACGTGAAAGGGAAAGATCTTCGTGTCGAATAAATCGAACGTACGTTTTGAAATCTTACAAATGACTGGTACCATTACTTCTATGTACATTTTATTTTTTAATCTTTCACGAAACCTCCGTGTCATTCGATCTCGATAAGAAAGAGAGAGAGAGAGAGAGAGCAAGTAAGGAAAGAAAAAAGAAGGAGAAAAAAGAAATAAATATATATATATATATATATTCTCGTGTAAGTTAGTAGTAGCAGCAGCTTAAGGAGAAATGACTTTTGGTGGTATTTACTTAACAACGTTGGGGTTGTGTTTTAGATCGAGTTTACGTTTAATTTCATGAGTCTCAACGGTCTGCGATCTCGGTCTCCCGTGCCACTCAGCAATTCCAATTGCATAATAATTATTCCCCTAGCGAGAGTAGCTAAGGGTAATACGAGTAGTATAATAATATATACAACCTATATATATATATATGTATGATATACAAACATAATACATAGATCAATATATATGTATATAATAAAAAAAGGAAGAAAACAAAGTTTGGAAGAAGAAAATAAAGTTAATAATAATCGAGTCAAATAACACATTGTTCTTTTTCTCGTAGAAGTTTCGATCAAAGAAGAGGAATACTCGTACCTCTTCGCAAATCTCGAATTATCGATGTTAAACTTGTTTACTATTGCAGGTATGCCTGGAAGAAAGAATACGATAGTGTATAAGTGCTGTCCGGAGCCGTACGTCGACGTGACGTTCACGATACAGATACGCAGGCGAACGCTATACTATTTTTTCAACCTGATCGTGCCCTGCGTCCTGATATCGAGTATGGCCCTATTGGGTTTCACATTGCCGCCCGATTCCGGAGAGAAGCTCACCTTAGGTAACGTAACTCTTAGCATGCCTTGCCTGCCGCACTTATTTATCAGCTAGATAACATATATACACGTGTGTTATTATATTATATATTTATTTATTTATTTATTTATTTATTTATTTATCCTTTTAGTTCTTTCGTATATCCTTTTTTTTCAATCTCGAGACTTCTATCTCTAACCTATACTTCTACTATTATTATTATTATTATTATTATTCTTACTACTGCTAATTACTACTACTGCTATATAACTATTACTACTACTATTATTACTACTATTATTACTACTAGTACTACTCTACTATACTATTACTATGTTATATGCGTCTCGTCGTGTATGCATATATGGAGTTTGATATACACATTGTATATTATATACCGGTGTATGTACTTACTTATTTACATCCGACATTCGGTAACATATCCATCTCTCTCGTATACTCGTTTCTTTTCATTTATTTCGTTCGTATTTTTCGTCTTTCTTTCTCTCTCTCTCTATCTATCTATCTCTCTATCTGTCTATCTCCCTCTCTCTCTCTCTCTCTCTCTCTCTCTCTCTCTCTCTTTCTATCTCTACTAATCTATCTCTATCTATTTCTTTTTCTTTCTATCTTTCTATCTCTTAATCTTAATCTTTTTATCTCCGTACCACGGTGTTGACCATCTAACGTTCGTTTCGTTCCATATGATCCAAACAATAAATAATAAACAGGGATGTTTAATTACATTTGTTTTAATTCTTGCATCTCGATGAAAATCGATCGGTCGATCGAAAAAAAAACATGACCACCCTAAACTACCACCACCACCACCACCCCCATTTCGTTTCTACTCAACGTATTAATACTTTCTCTTATTTCTTTCTTTCTCGAGAAAATGGTTCTCTTAGTTCTCTCTTGCGAAACGGCAACGTTTTCAAACGTACGCGTATGTATATACACGTACATACATATATATACATATATATATATATATAAGTATACTAGAGTATTTTTCTCCGTCCGATTCCGCTCGATCACTGCTTTTGTCTTCGAAGCAAAATAATAGTATGGTATAGAAAAGTTTTCGTTATAGGAAATTGTGTTTCCTTGTGTGTTCGTCGTCATCGTGTTCGCTTGCTTTTCCACATTGTTGGAAGAATGTGAAACGAAACCGAGAGAATATTTTTCTTCGACTATCTTGAACGAAATATCTAAGCGAAGGTAGAACGCGTAGGGTATGTAGATATATTATAGATGCTTTGTTAATGATAATGACTAAAAAAAACAATGTGTAAACGTCAACTCGTACGTTCACAAGTTATACAATTTTATTAGAATAAAATTGTCACTTGTTAGTTAATATTAATTATATTTACCTCGATTGAAATCTCTTCGGTGTAACAAACACGTTGAATATTATTTTTATTCGTCGATATGGAATTTCGTAGAAACGAGAGTCTTCTCTTGTTATTATTTTACGTAAGTTCGTTCGTTCGTAAATTCCTAAGATCAAATAAAATAAATAGAAGAGAATCAGATAGAGGAATCATTGAATATTTCTTTAGTAAAAAGAAAGAACATGAAGATATATTGTATACTTTGAAATTAATCTCTCGTGGAAAAGTATGGGAGAAAAAAAGTATTGGATATAATTTCATTTCATTATTACTACACGACAACGCTTACAATTTTTTTACCCTTATTCCCAAGTTCCCTTCTCCCTTCTTTCCGGTTTCTCTATCTCTTTTCTCTTCTCTTCACTTTTCATAAGTTGTTTAGTCGAGGTGGAAAACATTTTCTCATTCTCGTTGTTGAGATAAAGTGAAATTTCGTGTGAGAAATAAGGAAAGCGTAACGTTAGGATTACATTAGTTTAGAAAAGAGATGTGTGTTGTCGCTATAGGAACGAGAATAGGATTTTTTTCGGCAAGAGATAAGCTGCGAAGAGCATTAGAGAAGAGTAACGCAAACGCGAAACTTTGTTTACCTGGGGAGTTTGCCCGAGGAACCAGTGACATGCTAATTTATAAAGTTAATTAGTAATCCCGTTTGAAAGTGCGGACGGACGTACTAAAACAAGCACGCTCACGTCCACGTATATATACGATTACACCACCATTACTTCTATTACTATTAACACTACTATTACTACTACTACTACTACTATTATTACTGTTACTATTACTTTTCGGGGTAAAGAAAAAAAAAAAACCTGGGGTATTAATTACCATTTATTGTATTTAACTTGTCATTGAGGAAAATTATGTACATACTTTTTCCTATCGTTTTACCATCACCTTGGGAAATACGTAACTTCCTGAAATCCTGTTTAATTATGCTCTCATATATATACATGTAATATATCTTATATGGTATAATGATTCCAATTTCAATTTCGTTATTGAAATTATTTTTATTTACTTTTTTCTTTTACCTGTACAAAAATGTGTACGATTTAAATTAGAAAAGAAATAAAAAAAAGTAGAATATAAATGATATTCATTCATATCTATTTTTCTTTCTTTTCTTCTTCCCCGAAAGAATTTCTTTTGCAAATGATATGACATTGACCGAGCATAATTTACATGGGACCCGAACAGTTCTCATGGCTTATGTATCGCGCCATTACGAGCGTTATGGTGGCTGCTTGAAGATCGTAATACACGAATATATTCCTTTGCCATGTATATATGCGTCCCTTTATGCGTAAAATTCACTTCTACTCGTATAAACCTTCCCCTAACCCTTTTTCTCTCTCTCTCTCTCTCTCTTTCTCTATTTCATCTTCTTTATCTCTCTCATAAAATAGTATAGTACATATCTAAACATATAACATAGGCATAAACATACTAGCTTTATATCTACGTTTACAAACCTATATTTAACCGAAAGATTGTTTAAAGAATGACTTGAGAATGATTTGAAATCGAGAAAATAATTTTTTTGAGAATATTTAAAAAGAGTATTCTTATGTGATCGTTTTTAACATAGTCAATTTAGTATTTAAATTAAATATCTTCAATATTCGGCTAAATAGAAAATAATCTAGCAAGATTTATTCGATCCGACAAAAACTTACAATTAATTACTTCAAATACTTGAAAAGTATTTCTTCCCTTTTTCGTTTTCTTATTTGGTCTCTCTCTCTCTTTTTCGGTGTAAAAGAAAATTACGAAGTTTTATCTTACCCTGATTTGTTCGGATGTTCTTTACGAGGGTCAATTAAATTCGCAGCAATTTAAATAAACGTCGAATTCGTTCTTATTAGCCAGAACATCGAATGGTCTTAGCTAAGTGGATTGATAACGTCAAGTTCGTTTAGCAAAGAAGAAGTTAAAGGAGATTGCGTTGAAATCAAATTCGATTTCTTTTTTTCCAGGACGAACGTTTTCTCCTCCTCGGTTTGAAGGAAACAGCCGAAGATTTGATCTCGTTCAATGTACAGTCCCATATATATATTTTTATTTTCGACAACTAATCCTCTCATCTCTCTTCTTCCTTGTTTTTCACCAAATTCTCTTCTTCTTCTTCTTTTTCTTTTTCTTTTTCTTTTAGTACTTACCCGTCTTTAACCTTTAATGATCTCGTTTTGTTCGAAAAGCTTTTGATACCTAACTTCCACTCGAATCTACCTCTGACTTGTTTTCCTTTCATCTTCTTTCTCTCTCTCTCTCTCTCTCTCTCTCACATCCTCTTTCGTTTTTCCATCTGACAAACAGGACTCTTTTCTTAATTATGATAGATTTATTGTGGAATTAGGTTCATCTAACGTGAAACGTTTTTCACGAGCTCGTTTTCTAGACTAGCGTTCAAATCGACTAACCTTTTTTCGTTCTAGGTAAAAAAGTGCAAATTCCCTAGACAATCTCGTGACCTCGTTTTACGTACGTCCAATTTATCGTTATACATATAATACCGTGACAAGATATTTTCCAATTTCATTCTTTTATATTTAGCGCTTTACCTTTGTTATAACGATCTATCTTATTTTAATGGATACACCTAGACTTTATTTTCATGAAATTTTTCTTCAACGGTACCGAATACATTCTCGTTGTTGTATCCCTTAATCGATAAATATTTTTAATATAAATAGAAAATGATTATTATTATCGATCACAAATGTGCATGGTGAAATATTAAAAAACGAGTGCCGGTTAGATTCCTTTCAATATTCTTGACTTAACCGAATCTGAATTATTATTTATGATCTGAAAGTATAGCTTGGATATAATCAAATTTAAATTTTCAGTTAATTTACGTAAAATTCTTATTATTTATAATTATTTTTTTATCACGTTAAACGTTCATTTTTGTATATATATATATATATATATATATATGTATACGTAGATAAAAATTTAAAAATCGAAACATTTTTTACGTGTAGTAATAATAAATGAGTATCTGTACTCTTTTCGAGAATTACAATTTTCCATATTGAATAACATCGTATGTGTATGCCTGTACCAATGAATGGTAATTTAATTAAGAATTCAAATCGATCGACCGATATCCTCGAGCGATTGAAATTTTGCAACGATTAAATACTTCGAAAATTTGTAAATGAAGAATAAATTCGTTTGACCAATTAAATTTTTTAATTTAATAATTTCATTGCAATGTTCACGTTTCGGGTTAATCTCTCGCTATCGTAATACGAAATATCAAATTACTTGAATAAATTTGTATTATTATTTTGTACCAATAATGTGTGTAAAACCTTTTAATTATATAAAATCGCGCAGAGAAGTCTGATTTTGATTATAAAATTGTTCGTAAATTTTTTAGAGGAAAAAGAAAAAACAAGCTTCGAAAAATTCTACGTATCTTTTTCTTTATTTTGTGTTCAACACACGATGCTACATACGTTTACTCGTGCAATTCACGAGCCGTTTCTTTGCGTTATACACAAATTATTGGAAATTTATAAAATTAATTAGATTACTTATTAATTTGAAAGTAAACGATGAATATTTTTAAGGGTGTTGCGTATAAATTCATAAAAAGTTATCGTAATTTTTG